TCCTTCCGGGCGGACCGGGACTCGTTCGGGGACTGGGACTGGAGCGTGGCCTGGATGGAGGACATGGAGGCCCAGTACCGGTCCCACTACCCGGGCAGGATCAGCAAACCCCCCCACAGCTAGAGGGCCCACCGGAGGCCGAGCTTTGAAGAGCTCCCGGGGTTCGGCGTCCCGTCTGAAAGGTGCCGGGTTTAAGCCGTTCAGGGATGAAACGTTTTCCACTCCTGGGTTTTGGAATTTAATTAGAGCCAACGCCTCGACGTCTGGGACCCGAAAGCGCATCTGATGCCGTTTGAAATATTCTTTTCCTCAGGGCAAGTCCGGCGCATATCATATGCACATCCTTGAAATGACTTCCACGCCATGAAGTTCCTTTTTTTTTTTATCTTTCCCTTCGTTTAACAAAGAAAAAAGGATAATGAGATACCTCCCGTGGGACGCTGGCTCTTTTCAAAGAGGCCACAAAGCCAGTCGTCAGGCAGATTGCCGCCCCCAGCACACAGGTGATGCTCCGGTTTTTTATCCATCAGATTTAATATATGCAGCCTATGAAGCAAACGTTATTTAATGACTTTCACACAGTTTCTGTTTACATGCTGACAGCCTTTTTTTACTTTCTTTTTTATATATATATATATACTTTGTCTGCGCTTTCTGTAGTTTCTACTAAACAAGAAACACTTTTTTTTTTAAAGCTTTTGCCTCTATATAACTCTTTAAGTTTTTGATCAAGTGGCTTATTCTTTGTTTTCACTAACTTTAGCGGAATTTAACATTTTCTGTTCTTGTATGGCAAGAAGTTGGAAATAAAAACATTGTGTTAAACGGCATCTTTGAAGACGCGCCGCTCTCTGATCAGCCGAAACGTGGCGGCTCATTAAGGAGCTCTTTCGGGTAACATTATGCTCCAGGAAGTGAAGTATCTCTTCATTACAGACCGTCCCTCTGTGGCCCGGGCTGAATCGACCCCTGCAGAAGCTAATGGCTGTGCCAGGCGGGAAGGTGACGGTTAGAACTCGTCTGTTTGGCTAGATTAACATTACCGCCGCACCTGATAATGGCGCCTAATTACAAACGCGCTGAGGAGAATAATTAGACTTTCATCCGTCTGTGTGCAGACTAATGCAGGAGGGAAGTCGTCTCCAACTTTCCTCGCCCTCGCTCTGGAGTTCTTTTCGGCGTTTTTAAAGGGATTACAGCACGAGTTCACACCTCAGACTTTGACGCTTCGGTCCAAGCTGGGATTAGTTGTGTATCAGTGAATGGAGGCTGGGAGCTCAGGCTCTAAATCTGATGACTGATCCTTCCACAGCGGTTTGTTGAGCAGCAGCAGGCGGTTCAGGTGTAACTTTTGTGTAATTATTCACCCTAAAAAATACTCAGAAAACAGGAGTTTGTTTTCGGCCCCCTCGGCTGACATCAGACGTCAGATTATGTGCAGCAAACCTGCTCAGAAAAGTCTCAAACACGAATAAGGAGCATAACCGGCTTCCAGGCTTAACCCTTTAAAGCGTGATCCAAGAAAAATAGGAAGAATATTGGATTTTTTTTAGTCTGAAGTCTTTCTTTGGCCCCTTAACAACATATGAAATTTTTTTTTTTATTTTGATCAAATTATCGTGCAATAAATCAAAAATATATTTTGGTGTAGTCTTCTACTGGCTGTTATCAGGTATATCTGAATGTGTACAACAAAGCTTTTACCATTTAATGATGCAAAAAGTCTCAGATCCAAAAGACTTCAGAAACGGCATGTATCAAATATGATACATTTGGCATTATAGGGTTAAAACTTCAATCCCCAGTCTGATGTGTTTGAGTGGACCGGACTGCCAAAGGGATTATCCTCCTCCATCACCGAGGGCCACATGTTTCCACTCCCACTGACCGGCCCCACAATGCATCAGCTCCGCATTTCGGCCGGTCTTATTAACACACACAGAGCAGGGAACGCCACCTTTGGGATTTCCACTTCACAGATCTCGCTCTTTGCCAGAAAACCAGCTTTAGATAGTGTGTCCGCCCGCCAGCGGCCCGAATTGGACACGGCCTAAAACCACACACACACACACACACACACACACTATCCTTAACGGCAATCCTTCCACTTTGTCTGCTTTTCTTCTTACCAAAGACCGTTTTAAGGCCAGTGGTAGACGGACTCAGCCATGTGAGAAAGACGGCTGCTCGGTTTTCTGCTCCGGAGCCTCCAGGTGGGCCCAAAGGCCTGGACATGTGTCCATCTGATGGACGTTACACATTAGGAGTAGGGACGTCCCGATCCAGCTTTTTGCTCTTCCGATCCGGGCCTATCAGAGCATGTGTTAAAGTTTAAAGTTATTTATCTACTTACTTAGATGTCAGACTCATGTTGAACAGGGATTTACTCTGACAACAACTTAATGCTTAATGGTTAGGACACAGACCTGTGGGTTAGATGCTAATGCTAATGCTAATGCTCGTGTGGGATCGGACTTAAAAATAAACTGGATCGGGAGTCTGGATTGGCATTTAGATAGATAGATAGATAGATAGATAGATAGATAGATAGATAGATAG